AAAGTCATTTTCATGTCTGAAGCCTACTTCCTTGTTCTAGCCTAAAATTTAGATTCCTGCCTGAAATTACTTCTTTGTCCCTAGGCCAAGCATATTCAAACCATCACAGTGAATAAATTAACAATGCTGTGTGACACAGTCACCCAGTAGATGGTGTATGGGAAGTGTATGCTCAATAGGTACCATGCTCCACATTTTACATCAGAAGTACAGAGCATCCTTTCAGTTCAGTGATGAATCAGAAATTAGTTTAAAAGGCCCATAGAAGAAAAATTCCAAGCCGCTCTCCACAGTCCTCAAAAAGATCAGAGAAACAATTCCTAATTGCCTTTTAGGTTCCAGGAGCATTTTATGGTGGGGTGCTTCATACAGTATCAGCAGCTGCCATATGCTGGGAAAAGACACAAAAAGAACCACTTTGTGCCTGCAAAGAGGGGGAGCAAGCTGTGTCAAGAATGGCTATTGTGGGCAGCTCTAATATCACTTAACTTAGACGTTGGTAGGCCTATGTTGTTTCATTCCCCTCCTGCATCATGGCAGACCATCATCTTTGCAACTGTTAAATAGTAGTGACTTGAATGCATTTTGCATTATAAGTTGACCATGGTCCTATAGGGACAATGAGTGGAAGGTTGTGGCTTAAAAGTAATTTGTTTCTGTGGCAAGCAGAGGAAGCCTAGAGTGAGTGTGTAAAGGGTAGATGAATTCTGAGTGCATGTATGTTGTTGGCATGTTTCACCATGTCAAGGACTTCTGTGTGTCAAACCCATGGAAATAGGAAAGCCTCCCTCAGGTGAGGATCAGAAGGCTGGAAAATCTTCCCTCTGGTCCACATGTTAATGCTGATAGTGCACATGGTAACTATCATGCCAGGGTGTAACCATATAGGTTTTTCTATGCCTGCCACAGTTCTCAAATAATGACACAAAATATAACAGCTTATATTTGTTTACAATGTTTTTGGCCTTAAGCTAGGCTTGCTCCTCGACTAACTCTTATATTAATTTGTTTACACTATTCTATGTCTATCATGTAGTTGGTTACCTCACCTCAGTTCATATGTCCAAGTTCCCCCACTCTGTTCCCAAGTTCTGACTCCGTTCCCTAATTTTCCCCTTTCTGCCCGATGTCCCAATTTACTATCCTGCCTTTTGATATAGGCCATAGGCTTTTTATTTTAACCAATCACAAGGTGCTGTAGGCAGGAAAGGAAGGACAGAGACACATCTTCATACAGTGTACGAAAACATCATTGTAACTATTTAGTTTTCAAACCCATCAGAGACCCAAGGAGAGTAAATATTATCTGAGTGAACAAGAAGTGCAGCATAAGCAGCTTCCAAAACTATAGAAACGACAGAGGGTTGCTGGCTACCTGAATAGACACACAAGATTTCTCTGTGTCACTGGTGTAGCAGTAAATATTTAAAAGGCACTCCTGGTGGGTCAACGTGCATCTCTTCACCCAAGAAGAGCTCTGGATTCACAAATGAAAGACACCCACATGCAACCTTTATATTTTAATTTGCTTTAGCTTGCTGAGTGGTTGGGCTACTTCCAAACCTCCCCGTGGCTAGCACACTCCCCTCCGGTATTCCTGAGTTAACACTTTCTAAATCTATGTTTTATCTTTGCTGCCGTGTTTCCTTCTGAGCATCCCTCCCATGGGACGGTTTTATTTTCACCTACATTTTGGCCGTCTCAGACTCCTGCTCCTTCACATCGTGGTCTATCCTATGCCCCTCTCATGGCAGACTCCCTTCTTCTCCCTCTCCTGTGTTTTCTATCCAGGAATCCTCAAAGTCCTGCCTCCGTCCCCCTGCCCAGCCATTGACTACTGGCTCTTTATTGACCAGTTAAAAAACCAACAATTAGCAGGGACCTGCAGTGGACATGCATATTCCCATGTAAGCACAAATCAAAGCCACAACACATTGGAGCATCATCTTTGGCCTTCTGGCCAGAATATCTGACAGACTTTCTCTGAAGCAGGAATATTGAAGGATTTGCCTACCTTGTCTTGGCAAATACTTGGCAGCACAAAAACACTCCAACATTAGGGTCTCTCACTGAACCTGGAACATACCGATTGGCTAGCCAGAGATCACCAGAATTCTCATTTCTCTCTCCACTGTTGTGATAACAGATACATGAGACCATAACCAACTTTTTATGTGGGTTCTGGGGATCCGAGGGTAGAGACCTGATGGAGCTCTCTAGTTTGGGCTATCTCCAGGTAATATTTCTTTACTGTTTACAGGGGAAATCTCTATACAATTTTATGGAACTTTTTTTTTGTTCTTGCCTTGCCTTTATTAATAATGTAGAAATTTAACAGAATTATGACACATTTAATAAATTTATTCAGATCTTGAAACATTCAAGTAATAGAAACTATGCCTTTGTAAAACCCAAGAATGTTAATCTTTGATTTTTTTTTAATGCTTTAAATAATCTACAAGTTATCGAACAATCAGGTCCTCTATGTCACTAGGAGCTTTAGTTTAAAATCCTGGAGTTCTAATGCAGAAACAACATGAAGAAATTTCCTAGAACAGCTGACACTTAAACAATCTCTATTTATATCTCATATTAAAAAATAAGAATGATAATCTCAGCCCTTGAGAGGCAGGAGGATTTGGAGTTCAAGTCTAACCTGGGATACACAGTGAGTATGCGCAAACCAAACTATCGGTCAGTGCGTCCCCTGGGCTCCACTTTCCCCATATTTACTCCTTTCTCTTCCCCCAAGAGCTTGTGTTCCTTGCTGCGTTCTCTTCTCCCTGGCCCCACTCCCTTCAAGTCTCCCACCTCACCTACCAGTGCAGCCCTGATATCCCCAGACTTTCCAGTGCTCCCCTTCCCCAGCAAGTCCCTTTCTGAAACACCTTGCTCCTGCCTCCTTGCTCCCTGCTCTCCTCCCACTTCCAAGGTCTCTTTGTAAAATTCCGTATGAGGTAATGTTACATACTCTCAAAATCACATTCTAGGCCCCTTGGTCTTCTCATTTCCAGAACTTCTATGGCAGTCCATCAATTTCTACACCAGCTGTCACTTTCATTTCCTTTTGTGACTGACCACACTCCTCTGGGCTTTAGATCTGCATACCCATTCGCATGCTGTTTCTTGCTGCTAGATCTCAAGATGTTCTCAACTTGGAACTCTTGCCTTCACTCCTTGATGCAAGTTACTGGTGTCTTCGGGAATGGCACTGTAAGCACACAGGGGCACAATCCACAGACTCCGGGATTGGTTTGGAAATCTTTCCATTAGCCCTGTTTTCTCACACTGTCACCTCTCAGATACCACTCAGATGCGCCCGTCCCTGAGTCCGAGCTCATCCTACCTCTACCCACCGTTTTCTGTGTGGACGACTGTAGCCACTTAGCTGACTTCACACACCCCTCTTCCCACTGCAGCCAAAAGCTTTTGTTTGTTTTTTTAAATGTTAGTCTGATTAAGCTGTTTGGATGTTTAAAACTCCCAGTCACTTAATATTTCTTGCAGTGGTAACTGCATGCTCCGACTCCCTCCCCAACTCCCTCTATCCAGGTGCCCACTCTGTCTCTCTCTGGCCTGCTAAATTATTTTCAGCTGCTTAAATGTGTTACCTCTTCCCCTTTAGCACAGCAACACAGCTTTCTTGACAGCTGCTTCTTCTGCCTCCCTGAGGTTACCTAGGTAACTCGTAATCAATTGACTAAATGTAAGGTCACTTTCTCACACAAGCCTTCCCTGACCCCCTGAAAATAAATCTCCAATTCTACACGTTCTCTCCATGGAGATTCTCATCATCAACTGGGTGTGGTGCTATAAATCTGCAACCCTAGGACCCTAAGAGGCTGAGGCAAAAGGATCCCTAGTTCAAGGACAGTCAGACTTTGTCTCAAAAAATACCAAGGACTGGGCATGAAGCTCAGTGGAGGATGTTTGCTTGTTATGTACAGGTCCTGGGTTCAACTGACAGCATCATGAAAAAAAGTCACCACTAAACAGTTTTCAGAATAACAGTGAAATAAATGTTGTCTTCTGTCTATCTTTGGTCTTTGGGGGCAGGGACTTTACCATTTTTCCCTCAGAGCTTAGTGCAATGCCTCACACATAGTAAGAACTGAGGAAGATTGATCCAGATCTGGTGCATTGTAGTTACTGTACCCACCAGACTGAAGCAAAAAGTTTGAGTCTAGCCTGGACTACATAGTGGATTTTGTTTTAGGAAAATAAAAAGAACGAGAAGAGAAAAAGGCATTTGCTAATTGAACAAAAGATGAACAAAAGAATGTCACATTTAGTGGTCCATGGTCAAAGTGGCAAAATGATAGCCAGATTTTTGTTTGTTTGATACAGAGTCTCGTGTATCCAAGGCTGGTCTCAAATTCAAAATGTAGCCTACACTGTTCCTCAATGGGTGACCATGCTATCTCTACCTCCTGAGTAATGAGATTACAGGCATGCACTACTATGACAACCACTGGTTCTACTTTACAGTTCAGATTACCGGCCTTCCCAACAAAGAGCTTATCCTGAATTTCATTCTGAATCATTTGAACCAAAGCAAATTCACAAGCCACTGAGTCTGGTTTCTCCACCTTACCATTTTCTTCGGGTGGCACTTAGCAAGGGGATGCTGTAGGTATAGTCATTTTTTTATTTTTCTGTGAAGTCTATGCTATCTGTTTGCTTCATTTTCGAATGGACTATTATGAAAAACCATGACACTATTTCTAAGAAGAGATACCATGTGTAGGTCAAAAAGAGCAATTTTGTCTTTTGCAATAGAGAGTCTTGTTCAAAAAAAATGCTGTTAATTTAAAAACTAATATCTCTCAAAGTACATCTTATTAGGTGAGATCATCATCATATTCCCAGCCTAAACATGAAAAAGAGAGAGCTGCTTTTCTGTATGGACATGGCTCATGTGTTTTTAAAACTCACATAATATGGCCAGTGGTTCATGAAGCGGCTGATGCACTTAAAAGATAAATAGGTTATCCTTGAAGATGCTGGGAGATCCGCTTCTCAAGGGTCTTTGTGCCATGGATGAAAACGGAATCATTATTTTTGAACTGCCTCTGCTCACGTCAGTGACTCCCTCTAGCAGCCTGTCCACTGGTTATAAGAGCCTGAGAGTCCTTGGCAGAGCGTAGTTGGGGCCAGGCAAAGCCAAACTCCTGGTAAGCTTTATTGCCTTTTCTGTGTTTCAGCTTCCATGTCACAACTAGAGTTGAAAAATAATCTCTGCTTATGCTGTTGTGGTATATGTATGTCTGTCTTAGATGTGCATATGTGTATATCTGTCTCGGAGCATTTCTCAGTTTAAGGTACTTTAAGTATTCTTTTTGTTGTTTTAAATTCTTAGTCTTCCTCCTCCTCCTCCCCTTCCTTCTCTTTATCCCCCTTCTCTCCTCTTCCCCTCTTTCTGTATCTTTCTTTCTCCCTTTCTGTAGTACTGGGATTGAACCCAGGGCTTTGTGAATGCTAAACAGCCACTCTACCACAAAGGTATCTCCCCAGCTGAAGTGTTTCTCTACCATTTCATTCCTACTAAGAAAGTCTGCTGTCTTAAGATACAGGTCATTTAAGATTCTGTTTTTATTTTAAAGCTTGCATTATTTTGGAGACTACAAAGCGTATATTGTTTTCAAAGATACAAACGGCACACCTACACTTTCTATGTATAGTCACAATTATTTGCTCAGCATAATATAGGGCTTCCATCATTGTGAACTGCCTTAAGAGAATCCACTAGATTTGGAGAGCCTCGTTTGCACACAAACCTTAAAAATGGTTATACAATTTAGGTGAACCAATATACTATTTCTTTTTCAATGTTTCTGGATCCATGTTTCTTTCTCTTCTCTCTGACTGTCTTGGTGGCCATGATTTCCTCTTTTATTCAGCACCATGTCCAAAGCACACCTCCTGCTGCTCTTGGCTGCCCTGGTACTGACCAGCCATGTATATGGAGCCACACTGAGAAATGAAGACACTTGGAAGCCACTGAGCAACCCCAGAAACCGAGAACTGGTAAGAACATACCCGGGAGCACTGGCTGAGGGGTACAGCTGGCACCAATCAAGAATTATAAGGAGGAGACCAAGGGCTGGGAAGATTCTCCTCAGGACAGGAATAGATTTTGTTCTCCTGGTAGCTGGCATCCTAACATTTCTTAAATGTAAGCTAACTTACATTTGTTTCTATGTGGAGAAACAAGTTTATATTAGAAGTGAGTTTATATATACACAGCACATTGTATTTGTAAGTGAACTTATATCTACACCAATGTTAGAGCACTGGTTTTTAATATACACACAGTATGAAAATGGTATTGGGACTTAGTTTGGTTACAAAGAGCTTGCATGACATGCAGAAGGATCTGGGTTTAGACCCCTAGAAAAAAGGGGAGGAAGAAAGGAAGAGACAGAGAGAGCAGAAAGGGAGGAGGGGAGGCAGGAGAGAACCACCTTTTGTAAGGCATATATTGGACAGATGCCAAAACAGATTATCCCACAACAGCATTTACAATATTTATTTGCAGAAGCTGGTAGTTGAACTTGTACATTATTTTCAGTTTCAAGCAAACAGATATCTAGAAAATAGGATTCAAAAGATAAATAAAATACTCTTTTAAAAGTATGCCTAGATCAACAACCATGTTGACGTGCCTATTCAAATGGAGTTTTTCTAAAGAAAGCAATGTGAACTAAGCGAATACAGGTTTAAAGCAGTCATGTCATTAGCACTCTGTGCAGTGTCTACCTGCTCATTAGCTAAAGGCTATGTGGAAAGTGAGGCGGAACAGTAACTGGAGTCTCCTCAAGCAGAGAGGAAATGGGGCTGATTTCCCTGGAGTTTGGTTTCATCTCTGACCATGGTGCTCAGGGGTAGTTTATCATGGGGCTCTGCCTGAAGTGCGACTTAATAATTTATACTTCCCCTGGGTTGCAACCCAAAGGGCTGAATTGTGTGGTGAGAACCAAAATGTCAGAAAGCAGGCAGTGCCAGGAAGAAATGGGACAGTCTAGATTGTTAGCATTCTGCTCTTCAGTTTAGCGTTTAAGTCACAGGAAGAAGAAAGGAAGGGAAATGCAGACTGGGCTTGGAGTGTTTGAAATCTTCATTTACATAAGGTATTGAACAGTTTCATTGTTTCTAGTTTTTCAGAAGCCTCCAGGCCTACTTTAAGGGCAGAGGACTTGAACTTGGGAACCTTCCAAATACCTTCTTTATGAATGAGGACCCCAGACCTTTCTCTTTCGGGTCAGAACATATTGCTTCTGCTTTTGCAGACTATGAAGAGCAGAAAAACTCCCTCCATAATTCCCACAAAGGCTGAAAGCCCAGGTAAATGCTGTTCCTCCAGTCCCAGGATCTGGCCAAGCACACAGCTCATGACATATTTTGAAGAGATTTCTTAGAATTAAGTCCTCAGTTTTGATGATACTTGTCACTATTAAATATTTAGATTTGACCCAGGCATTTCATACTCGGTTTTTAAAAGAAACGATAGTAATGATATTGAAGAATTGCTTTCTAGAGAGAAGTACATTAAAAATCATAAAATTGTCACTCTTAGGAGGATTTTTAAATTAATGAAATACCACATACTTTTATTTATGTATTTTTCCAGACCTGGTCCTATTGGTAAGTTATATGGAGAATCATAGGTAGAGAAATATGCTAAACTGATCACTTAGACTAAATGGGGAAGTTAGATGACGACTAGTTCTTTTGGGGAAAAGGGGTTGTGCATGTCTTTCATCTTGAACTTTCTCACCTAAAAAAACAAGTTATAATATCAGCAAAGATAGCATTTTCCTTATAGGGAAACATTTAAAAAGTGTCTATAGTTAAGACTTAAGTTTCAGTTCTTTGCATTCTTATGAAATAAATAGGTATGGCGTTAGAAGAAGAAGGTATGTTACACTCAAAACATTATGATTCTGGCTTGTTTAGCTGAACAATAAAGGCAATGGAATTATAATCAAAGTCGTTCATTTCCCCGTTCTTCCAAAGGGACATGGATTTCTTGTGAGTTAGCAACCATTATTCTCTACCGCATTTATGAAAGGCTTTCCATTATTAATTTTCTTAAATGTGATGACAGAAAATGATGATTATTCTAAAAAGGTGGAATTTATCACGTGAAACATGTGCTTGAATGCTGCGCTAAAGTAAGAAAGAATAGAACATCGACACCAAGGAGCTTCCTCTGACTTTTCTGCATGCAGAGGCTCTAGGTGCGCAATTGTAATGGGTGCTAAGTGGGATGCGGCTACATCACTTCACTATGGGTTTCTGGCTCATAGGAGACTTCAGAAAAACAAGATAAATACTTGCACTCAGAAGAGTCTAAGGGCAGGAGACAAAGCATTCAGGAAGTCTTCAACTTCATAGAGGAAACAGCTTCTGGTGTAGGGTGTTTCTGAATAGCTCTTTGGCTATTTCTGATGAGGTTTTTTTTGGGGGGGGGGAGGTGTGTTTTTGTGCTCCCAAAAGCTCTTTATTGTCCTGCTCTGCGACTCTCTCTTGCTTTTTTCAGGTGAACATGTTAAAGCTGCAGAAGAGCTTTCCAATAGAAAATTCAACTACTGCTGAAGTCTTGTGTGTGTTTTCCCTTCCATATTAGTCAGTTTATACTTATGTTGCTATACATTTTCAGATTTTACATGTAAACAGCTGGGCCTTTGGGACATATGATACTGACATGCATATTTCAGTATTTTTCTCTTTTATGACTGTAACTATTGAGTGGGAGGCTATATGTATTTGAAGGAGTTACAAAAATACCACAGGTGAAATGAAATGATAATTTTCCTAATTAGGTATTTTATTGAAGATTGTCCTTCATATTTATTACCTATTTTTAGCAACATTTTTTAAAAAAACAGGATACGTTTAATATAGTATATTGTATGGAATAATAGAGATTCAGACCTGTTTGCTACAGTGTATCATATGTAATAGGGATTCAGATTTAGGATTTGTTTTTCCTTTTCCCTCCTAAAAAGTTGAGGAAGCCCTACATTTAGCATGTGCTAAATGGTGGACTTCAATCCATCCCCCACTAGTCTTGTATTGAATGAGGGACATGGATAACCAAGTAGAGCTGAAATAGAAAACAAAGAGATTCTAGTTGCTGCAAGGTCTCTGGGAGATGATTGTATGCTGTATTCAAAGGTAAAAAACTGTCCCATGTCGAATATCCCAGCTTTACACCAACCTTACCTTAAATACAAGTCGCTCAACAAGGAACAGTAGCAAAGGGTGAATTTCCCACCCTTCCAACAAAGCCATTCCCTGTGTCATAGCTCATACTGAGCCCTTCCAATTCCCACGTTTTCATTTGACATAGCTACGTTTCCTGTTTATGTTTTTTTAGGAATATTGGCAATGTTTTCTGTGTGATTCAAACAAGAAACATTGTACTAGAATTCACACATCACTGTTGTGATATCATAAATCAAATCAGCTTACTGTAGTTTTTATAGACTCAACTTGATGCTGAATATGAATAATAAAATATTTGTGCGAAAAGTTCTGCATCTGGCTTAGTGTGTTTTATTGCAGTCACACACATAGGTACCTGTCTCTGGAGGGCTGTTTGGTGTTTGTGAGCAGAAACCGTTATTCGATGCATTTGTTGTTCTCCAGAATCTAGCACAATGTCTGTCATGTAGCAAGTGTTCAACTGAATACTTGTCAAATTCAAGTGTGTCTTCCATCCTTCATACAATATAAAATAAACTATAACGTAATCTAAAGCAAAAGGCCCTTTAGTTAACAAGATTGTTATCCACCTTTCAAAAATATTAGCAATTATTAATGAGATATTCCTAATTGAAGTATGTAACAGCTTCTTCAGGTAAATGGCTGGGTGAGAAGTTCCTCACTACCATGGAGTTCCTAAGTGTAACTAGAGACATGTTTTTCCTTTCTCAGCATTGTTTCTAATCTAGGTGAATGCTTATGAATTTCAGAGTCCTTGAAACTGATGGGTACCCACAGGAGACTTTTAGCTGTAAGCTTGTAAGTCACAGGGCAAAGGTATATACCCTTCGGCTTAAAAATTCCTCCTCAGGGTATCTGTGAATCTCATACTGGTTTAGTTTCATAAATGTATAGTCCTGGCAGTGGGAGAAGGCTGTTTTCACAACATGTGACTGTTTGCACACTTGTTCCTCAGACACTGTTGTTAGAACCTCCTTCAACTCCATCCCACCATTTTGCTAACCAGAACCTTTCCACACACATTTCTAAAAGCCCATGGGGAAGAGAACAAGTACGCAGCAGGTCCAGAGTTGAAGTGTTTCCTCTAATGGAAGCAAGTGTACTTCAAGAGCCATGGACTGTCAAGAGTTCCTTGGTGCACATCTATATAGGTCTTTGGCAGCCTTTCCACCCTTTGAACCTCTTCAGTGAGAATTCTATTTCCAAGATGTGGCCTCTTGTCCTGTGTTCTGGATCTAGTGTGGCCAAGGGTTTCTGAGAATGTTGAGATTTTTATTCTATTTGCAAAATACTACCCTTCTAAAATTTCATCAGTCCTAGCAGGCAATGAGATTCCAGATCAGAGACAACCATCCACTGACTCAGATGTGGCAGGAAACATGACTCACACTCCCACTGGGTTCTCAGTCTTGATTTACTGAAGGAGGTATGAGAACATGGGCCCACAGGTGTAGGACACTCTCTTCTTATTATGAGATTGCCAGGGGAAACAGGTCCAACTTTCACCTCAGAGGGAAATAGTAACTTTATTATAGTGATTAGAAAACAAATCTAGGCCAGGTGCCCACCCGTTAAACCCTGTACTCAAGAGGAAGAGGCAGGTGACGACCAGCCTGGTTTACATAGTAAGTTCCAGGACAGTCAGGATGAGAGAGAGAGAGAGAGAGAGAGAGAGAGAGAGAGAGAGAGAGAGAGGCAGATAGAGACAGAAACTCTATCTCAAAAAAGAAAAAAAAAATCATGTTTCCTTGTCCTATAATGTGACACCTACTTTCATGATTTTTGATTTACAAAGATGAAGTTTGGGGGGAAAGACCTGCAGGCTTTTCCAGAAGAGTGAGAGGCCCATGGAAAAATGGTCACCCCAGGAGCAGCACAACTCTTTGTGTCTTTCTCTAACAAGAGAAAGAACAGAGTCACCTCTCTGTGCTCTTATAACTCAGTTGTCATGGCATAAGTTCGATCTTCTGCTTCCTTAGCCTTTCCATTTTGAGACTCAAAAATCAGTCTGAAAGACCAAAATGTTCCTTCTTAGTATTTTCATTATTGCTGTATCAATTTGGCTTCATCTCAAGGTAATATGGCTGTCTGACTCACCAATGGACAAATCACTACAAGGAAGTAGAAAAGACATTCTGCTATATTCCAACCTTTAAAAAAGAAAAGAAAAGAAAAAAAAAACACCCCCTCACACACACAAAAAAACCCAACCCCACCCCCTCCATGTCCAGTAGATGGTCCTTAGCAGAATGTAGCTTCTCCCAGCCCCGGTTACAAGGCCCTGTCTCTTTAATATGCATCTGTATCTGTTGACTTGTTATTCCCATTTTCCCAGCAACCAACAATAACAGAAACCAGCCTAAGTATTTGGGTCTCAGGAGAGTGTTTTCCTTTCCAGGTAGCCACCCTCACTTTCTTTTCCCGCTTTGAGTGGGTCTGGAAGCATCCCTAGGGTCTTAGACACAGTTCCCCAACTCCCTGAAGACTTCAGGGGAGTAATCCTCAGAGTTGTCCTGGGGATAGCATCAACACACTTCATCTGCTCCTGTATGTTTTCATGCCTGTGTAAGATCCTTCCTCAGGAGAAACACAGTGACTGAGATAGTTTTCTGCCATCTGGTAGTCCTGCTCTTGAGGGTCTTGACCTCTGATTCTGCAACCCTGCTACAGATCCCCTTCGCCTGGATTATCATAAAGATAGTCAAAGATGGGCTCCCGGTTTTTGGAGCCAGGACTATGCTGAGCTCAATTTTGTCTAAAGTTCCAAAGGCTCTTGTAGTTTCATTCAACTTTATTCACAAATGTGTTTAGAATACATGTTACTAGGTTAGTCAGGTTTATAAAAATGACACATAAACTAATGTCTTCGATGTTTATAGGTAGTGTCTCTAGAAAAAGAAATAGTTACAATACAAGATAAGAAGCAAATCACAAGAGCTCCAGGAGTTGAAAATAATCACGCTTGCCCGCCCTCCCTTCCTGCCCCTCTGAAGTTTGACCTCTCTTCCATCCCTTTCTCTCCTTAGCCACGCCCAAGCCCTTCCCCCTCAAGTCGTCACACTTCAAGTGTTGCCCTTTTTCATATCATAAGTGTTCTAACACCCT